TATATATATATATATATTATAGATGTCGAGATATCTTCATAAAACAAACGTGTATCTCTTATAATTTCAGAGGTAAAAGAATTGGCCGATCAAATTCTTAGTATTGCCGGAGCTCACAATGATGATGAAAACGATGTACAAACAGCTACAGCTCGTCGTGGATAGAACTCTTACAATATATACAATCTTTATTGCTTTGTATTATTTTAAAATTCCAATTTGAAGCAAGTGTTGGATATAAATTGATACTTAGATCTTTCGGTGCATTGTATTATTTTAAAACTAATGCCAATGCAATAAAAGTAGTTTATTAAGTTTTTGCAATGATTTTGAAATTAGGAATACTTTTAAATCTTACTTCGGAGTCAAATTGTTCGAAAATATCCAAGTATGGACATAAATGTTTGGAAAACATGTTGAGGTCCTAATGTTCATGTCCAAAACATGTTGAGGGCAAGTGATATATAGCTAATAAAAAGGTGCCCGATTTCCAAATTTTTAATACATTTTTGAAAGGCGAAATTCATTTGAAACCTGTGTCATATTAGAAATCAAATACCGATTTGTGTAAAATAAATTACTCCTAAAAATCCAGAAATGCTTGTGAAAATTTTAAAAATAAAACTTATTTATTCCGAAATATTCATTCCGATCCATAAATCGCCAATATAGATTGAGAGTTATTTCATACTTTTTTGAAACGTAGAACTCTTTTGAAGTTTGTTTCATAAATTCATAGCATACATACAGTTTGTGTATATTTTGCATTGCATTATAGACTTGTTTCATACTGAAAAAGAGAACGCCAATTTATTTGAAATTTCCCATGTATGCCAAGAAATATTTGGAAAAAATTTTAAAATTAAACTTGTTTACTCCTTAGTTTGCTAAGTTCAAAACATGTATGCAGAGCTGCCAACAAATATGCGTTTTGCAAACTATATTATATTGTAAAAAGCAATAAAATACTAAAAATTTCAAACATTTTTAAGGTCTTACCATGAGAGTGCTGGAACGCAGTGGTGTTTTATATGAATTTTTGAATCATTTAAATGTAATGGGGAGAAAAATTACTTTGAATCAAATTTTCGAAACAACGAATCATTCATTAAAACCGAAACTTATATACCACTAGAAGAAATTTCCCACCAAAAGGGTAAAAAGTTGGCAGCCCTGTACCCACAGTTTTCAGCATTTAAATAATCTTTTGGAAAATTATACACGGCGAAACATTTGCATAGATGCCAACTGCTCCGGACGCGCCTAAATAATTTAAAAAATGGTAAATAATTACAAAGTAAATTTACAATTATTTGACTAATTTTGCTTACTTTTTGAACGGTCTAGCATGGCATAACTATAACAAAGTGGCGAATTATATAACTCCTCGAATTATTTAGAAATAGTGGTTGATGCAAAACCAATAAATTGAATTTATTAAAGGAAGAATCACAATAAATAAACTAAAACTCGAAAATATTTATTCGCTGTCCGGAGCAAGTTGGCATCTCTGCATTTGGTACAATTTGAAGAGTTTTGAAATGGATTTGCGAATGGAATGGAATCCCTATGCAAAATATACATCGACTAAAATGAGCGTAAAAAAATAAAAGTTTCTTTTTATCAGACCACTATTATTGAATAACGCATTCTTTAATATAAAATTGCAAATTTATTAAAAAATGTTAGTGTTGCAGTTAAAATGAATTCATAAAATTTCCCGTCTTTGAATTGTCGATCCAAGTTTTACATGAATAAAAATGATGTCATTTCCAGAAGCTTCAAGCCTGATCACCAAGTCAACAGTTTTGTTACATAAAATGTTCCAAGACTTTTACTACTTAACTTTTTCGAAGGCTGTGAGAAGTATACTTCCCACCACTTCTAATTTAGGTTTCCATTTGTTAATAACTTCAGCTTTCTTGAAGTGCGTTTGAATAAAATTGGCAACCATCATTTAGCTTAAAAAAAAACGTATAAAAGTTATAAAATGCATAATTCCTTTTGAAGTTTATAGCATTTATAAAATTTATTTTATAAATAGTTGAAAAATAAAAGTCAGTTAGTTCCTAATGGGTCGTGTTAAACATATTTACCACCAAAAAAANCAATTTGTTAATAACTTCAGCTTTCTTGAAGTGCGTTTGAATAAAATTGGCAACCATCAGTTAGTTTAAAAAAACGTATACAAGTTATAAAATGCATAATTCCTTTTGAAGTTTATAGCATTTATAAAATTTATTTCATAAATAAAGAAAACTAAAAGTCAGTTAGTTCCTAATGGGTCGCGTTAAACATATTTACCACCAAAAAAATGGCATTTTTATAAACTAAATGAGTTTTCTTTCTTATATCAATTACTGTTCTTAAAATAATGTCAATTCTAAAAATACTTTAATTTACCTTTACTAGAAATAAATGGCCCTTTAAAGGGTTAATTAAATATTGTTTCCATAGAGTTAAAAGTGTTAATATTTTTCAAAAACATTAGTATTAAAAAAATTTATTCCTCCATAAAGCACAAGTAATTTAAACAGATACAGGGATATATATGTACACAAATTTTTAAATTCTAAAATTGCTTTTAAAAAATCTATCTATATTGGAAAATTCTGATTTAATCCACTACCAATGAAAAAAATAATTTGCAAAAGCCTCAAGTCTTTAAGTAGCACAATTGCTGATTCGGTGGAGTCTGGCTTTCTTGCAATTAATGAAAAGACTTGGAGTTCAAAGATAAATCGGAAGTCGTTCTAGAGAAATATTCAGAGGAAGGCACTGGCCCACAATGTGTTGTCTGGTCAACTATGATGATGATGAATTGTAATTATGTAAATTTCGGAACCACCTATGGTAAAAAAGAAATATATACTATATTCCAATAACTGGACAAGAAATTAATGAACTATAATTACATAGAATGAAAATTAATATAAAGTATGGCAAACTCGAAGCATTGAAAAGCATTTAAATCTATTTTTTTAATCGAAAGAAAATTTTTTATTTTCGATTTCATAATTCGGAAATTCTGATGTCGTCTGTTATATTTGTTACAGAAAAACGCCAGCATGCACTCTCCAAGATTTGAAAAAGACAATTGACAGCAAATTTTAGTTAGGCAGCGCATTCGCAAGTAAACCAAATTGCTTCAGCTTTTTATTGTTTAAAGAATAGTGGTTGATAAATGTTTAAAAGCAGTTATTATTACATTTCTAGGAGTTTGTCCTATTAGTTAAATTAGCATTGCCAGAGTGGTTAAAATGCAACGGATATAGGTTAAAAATACATCTTGGAATTGGAGGGCTGTGCTGCATGTTTCTTGTTTTGTAATATTGCGAAAAGATAGAGAGATTTGGTCGTTTAGTCACCGCAGGTGGCCAGCCCACCCGCGAAACTTGTTTGCGGCTTTTCATGGCCACTGCTTAAATCGTAATAAAAACAAAATAGCACGAAAAAAATAGGGAAACACTTTTATACTAAATCTATGTAAAGAATCTTTCTTTTTGGAAGATTTTAAATGGCAAAACTATTCTGAAGATCATGCTTGTAGCTTTCAGAAATTGTGTCATTTTTTATCATTCAAAATTTTCATCGACCAAAATGAGCACAAGAAATTAATAGCTTTGTTCCTTTTTTAATACCACCATATTTCAAAAAGTATTCTTACATAAATAGTAAAGCTAGAAAAAATGCACACTTCCTGTCCTCGCTGTGGTCGATCCAAAGTTTTCATGAGGTAAAAATGACATTTAATGAAAATGTAAAAACGACGAATTTCAAATTGTACCCACAGTTTTACAACGTAAAATCGAACGATTGTTAACCTAGAATTAGTATAGAAGTATTTCTTTTAATTAACACGTTGAGAGCCGCGTCAGCCATCGGTGGCTGACGCTGGACTTTCCATTTAGGCCGCGTCAACCACCGGTGGCTAACACTAAAATTGCATTTAGGTCGTGCTAACCACCGGTGACTGACACTGAAATTACATTTAGGCTGCGTCTGACACCGATTGCATTCTTGATTTAATAAATTCAATTTAGCAGCTTCTTATCCACCACTATTTTTAAACAATTCGTAGGCATATATAATTCACCACTTTTTTCAGATGTGTCATGAATCAATCATGTCTTTCATTTTTCAAAAATCAATTATTGTTCATATCAAATCATGTTTTATCTATATTTTTAATATAAGTCAGCAATCAATATTTCTAGTGTTACGAAAAAACGTCAATTTGTCATATTGAATTTTTTTCATTGTTTTATTATTTCAAAAGCAAACGGCTTGATTTTTCTTATGGCTACCACAATGTTTGCCAAATCAATGTATTTTACCTTATTGTATGTTATTTAATGATGAATGGGATAGGGGCCGTTTCGGGGCCCAGTTTATGTAAATAAAAAAGAAGAGCAGATATGTCATGCTAAACCTTTTATAAACTAGAAAAATCTGTCTAATATTTGCAAATTTAGTTTGTAGTTATTTACCGTGTGGCCTAATTTTTTACGAGGATTCGGCCTTCTGACCCCCAAAATATAAGGGACAGCTGCTATTTAGGAAATAGGGACCCCATAGTTCGGTCAGGAGANAAGTTTTCATGAGGTAAAAATGACATCATCTCTAAAAGAGTCGAATTTCAAATTGTACCCACAGTTTTACAACGTAAAATTGAACGATTGTTAACCTAGAATTAGTATAGAAGTATTTCTTTTAATTAACACGTTGAGAGCTGCGTCAACCATCGGTGGCTGACGCTGGACTTTCCATTTAGGCCGCGTCAACCACCGGTGGCTAACACTTAGGTCGTGCTAACCACCGGTGACTGACACTGAAATTACATTTAGGCTGCGTCTGCCACCGGTTACATTCTTGATTCTTGGTTTAATAAATTCAATTTAGTAGTTTTTATCCACCTCTATTTTTAAGCAATTCGTAGGCATATATAATTCATCACTTTTTTCAGATGGGTCATGAATCAATCATGTCTTTCATTTTTCAAAAATCAATTATTGTTCATATCAAATCATGTTTTATCTATATTTTTAATATAAGTCAGCAATCAATATTTCTAGTGTTATGAAAAAACGTCAATTTGTCATATTGAATTTTTTTTCATTGTTTTATTATTTCAAAAGCAAACGGCTTGATTTTTTTTTATGGCTACCACAATGTTTGCCAAATCAATGTATTTTACCTTACTGTATGTTATTTAATGATGAATGGGATAGGGGCCGTTTCGGGGCCCAGTTTATGTAAATAAAAAAGAAGAGCAGATATGTCATGCTAAACCTTTTATAAACTAGAAAAATCT